GACACCACCATTTTTCTCTTTAATTCTATTCCTAACCTTTTCAGCGAATAAAAGTGGTAATCCTGAAAGAAATTTCTCTTTCCAAAAGTCAGCATTACAGTCTTGCCTAGTGAATACCTTAGAGTAAAACACGTCCTTATACCCCCTAAAATGGGATAAGGTCGAACACTTAAGATTCATTAAGAGTTCTCTAGACCTGTCGTGCTGTAATTCTGTAGTTCCTACAAAATGTAGAGTAATTGTGTAAATCAGTGAATTTACCGCACCTTCCTGGTAAATGTTTTCACTCTTGATTAACCCAGTTGCTGGATCCTGTACATTCCGCTGACCAATGGCCACCTGAGCGTTTAGGATTTGGGTTCTTGCCGACTCGCTTAGGTGGAAATCCCACCATCCTTTTAATTGACCGACAAAGTCTGCGATGATAGCTTCAACCACCCTCTTATCTCCATTTCCTTTGATCTTAGAGGCTGTAGCGTACATCATCATATGTTTCATTGCATTAATGATCTGATATTCTGTCAGACCATCAATATTCCATTCAACTATGGAGCTTCCGTCATACTGAGCAGAACTCCACATTCTATCTTCCTCAAACTGTAAATCTACTGGCATGGGTCTGGGGTAGTAATTTTTTGTCTTTGCAGTTTGAGTGAATTTCTTTTCATTCGTTAACCTATTAATTTCAGGTTGTTCTTCTTTAAACATTGTTTCAAGGTCATCTATTTCCCCTTTAGTGAGAACCGACACTTGAGGACCCTTTCCTTTGTCTGACAATTTTACTTCTGACAATTTCTTTGCCAGGATGTCAACAAAATTTTCATCTTCTGACAATGTTCTTCCCATCTTAAAATTTTTATTATCTAAAGAGGGAGGTGGTTTGAAGAACACTTGCCTACTCATTTCCTTGGTCTTTTTTGTTTCTGAGGGACCGGGGTCGGATTTCTGTTCCTTTGCAGAAACAGACGTTTCAATCCTAGTGACTTGCTTTCCTAGAGACTGCAGAAATAGGTTGGTGTAATTATTCTGCTGAATAACGGCGCCCATATCCTCTTTACTAGCTGTGGGAAATTTATTGGCGCTATCTTCAAACCACCTCCCTCTTTAGATAATAAAAATTTTAAGATGGGAAGAACATTGTTAGAAGATGAAAATTTTGTTGACATCCTGGCAAAGAAATTGTCAGAAGTAAAATTGTCAGACAAAGGAAAGGGTCCTCAAGTGTCGGTTCTCACTAAAAGGGAAATAGATGACCTTGAAACAATGTTTAAAGAAGAACAACCTGAAATTCATAGGTTAACGAATGAAAAGAAATTCACTCAAACCGATATATATATACATATTAAAATAATTTAAACAGTAAATTAATTTTTATTAATTTTTGGTCCACGTGGAAGTCCACGTCATCAAAAACAGGGTCCCACTTTTGACACGTTAGCATTTAACAAACTCACTAACAGTTTAGGTAACAGAGGGGGGCAATTTGTAAGGTTTCTAGGAGTTTGAGTATGTATTCATAAATGTCTCTAAAATTAGGTGTGAACTTGAAAATGACCCTACGGGTTTTATCTAGTTTGTCCTAAAAAACAAAAGAAGATGTTTTATTGGTCCTTTCCCAAACTCTGAGGCCACTTCCAGCAGCGTTCTAGGGCTCGGGCTGGGGGGGGGGGGCGGGCAAGAGCCCAAAATGAAGTTCCAGCAACAAAGGCTGGCTCGGGCAATACGTGGGGTCCACGAGCCTGGGCTAGCCCGAAGGCAGGGGGAGCCCGAGTAGGAGCCCAAAGGCGTGGCTGACGTCATTGCTGACGCCAGCGTGACGTTAGCAGCCGCGATTCAAATTTTTTTACCCCATTGCTGACGCCAGCATGACGTCAACTGCGTGCGCGTCACCTTTCCCCCAACGGATCTACGCCACGTGGCTTGTTCTGGTCCTTCCGATTCCTTTTGTTATCCAATCCAACAGCTTGGCATTTTTCAAGGCAAAAAATTATGAAAAAAATTCGGAAAAAATTTAAAAAAATACCCAAAAAATACTGAATTTTTTTTTCTATAAATACCAATCCCAACTCTTCACTTTTAACAACAAATCCTCATACATCTTCTCCTTCTCCAACTATTATTCACTTTCTACTCAATATTTTTTTCACTTTCAAGTTTAATTTTTCTGTATCATTATGGCTTTTTCTCAAGAAATCTGAGGGGCATGGAGCATCATGAAAGATGTCTTGTTGTGTGAGTGTTGGGTCCAAATTAGTCATGATCCCATATCGGATAATGAGATGAAATTCAGTCAAATGTGGAAAAAAATTCATCACGAATTTGTTGAAAGATCGGGTTCCACCCGTACGGAAATGGCATTGTCTAGTCGGTGGAAAATTCTCAACAAAGAATTGGGGAAATGGAGAGATGCCCTCACAAAAGCGAGGGATAACCAAAGAAGCGGGGAAAATCTCAGCGAGGAGGTAAATTATTTGTAATTTTCATTTTATTAATTTTAATGTCCTATTAATTTTAATTTAAATGTTTCTTGCAATTTGTATATTTTGTTAATATTTCTTGTATTTCCATATTTATTTAAATGTTTCTTGCACTTTTTATATTTTGTTAATATTTCTTGTATTTCTAATATTTATTTAAATGTTTGTTACATTCTCTATATTTTGTTAATATTTCTTGGATTTTCATTAATATGTTAATCTTTTTTGCATTACTAATATTTTTTTTATGTTCCTTGCATATTCAATTTTTTTTTATATATAGATTGTGCAAGCTCAAATGTGGTATGGTGCTACTGGACAAGGGAAAAAAACTTTCAACCATACCCAATGTTGGGAGGTGGTGAAGCATTGTAAGAGATTTAACGTTATTCCAACGGCTCCACCGGTGGTGTTAAACGAGACGTCACTCCATGATTCACAAGCTTCGGATTCGCCTATGGAATCCCCTATGAGTGAAGACTCACCCATTCAAAGGGAGCCGAGGCCAATTGGGAGGAAGGCGGTGAAGGCAAAGAGAGTAAATAATTCTACAAGTAATGCCTCCAAATTTTCGGAGGAAATTGCAAGGCAAAGCGCCTTGAGAATTGAAATAGACAGGAAAGCCCAAGAAGATGATAGGGCAATGCAAATAGAATTTGCTAAAGAAAGGCAGTATGTACGCAAACAAAGGGAATATCTACACAAAGAAAACGAAGACAAGAAGGATCGGGAAACCATGGCCATAGATACAAGTTGTGGGAGCTGAATTAAATCACCCTAGGTCAAATAATTCCTTCTATTTGAGGATTATTTGACCTAATTGGGAGTTACTCAATTTAATTGGGGGTTACCCAATTGAATTGGGAGTTACCTAATTAAAATTGGGATTGATTTGATTCCTACCCCAATTAGGGATTTGATTTAAATCAAATAAATCAAATCCCTAATTAATCAAATCTCACCTAATCGGGGAGGAATAATTCCTTTCCATCTACAGAATTATTCCTCTGAAACCCTAGCCTATGAGGCTCCTATAAATACTTGGCTACGCACAAGGGTTAAGGTACATCTAAATTCCTACTAAAACTCTGCAGAAATTATCTCTCACAAACCCTAGCCACCATACTCCTTCTCTCTCTCACACAAGGCTCCGGCTCCACACACGGCTCCAGCCACCCGATTTTCCTTGAAACACCCAACCTAACTTAGGCATTGGAGGGCCTTTGGCCAACACCCCCCGGGTGTGGTCCTTTTACTCCGATCTATTTTGTATGGAGAAGGAGACGGCGACGAAGGAAGAGGAATCTCAATCAAATATTCTCGTGGGAGGAAATTTGCTCCCACAAATTGGTGCTTTCATTGAGAGCGCGAAATAATACTCAAAGCGTGCTCCAAATCCATTTTCCACACTTTTTTCTAATCAACCATGGTCGATACAAGACGTACGAAGAGTAATACCACCACGACGGGCCCGTCTCATGGTTTCGTGGTTGAAACCTCACTGCAACCTCACGGAACCATGGCTGCCAACACATTGCGGCCGCCTCCTAGTGCTTTGCAGTCACCCCCAACTGCCGGAATTGCAGAATAGCCACCGCAGATAGCTGCTGGAATTGCAGAACAGCCGCCACATGGTCCTGTGACCTGCACAGCCTTGCAGCCTCAAGCGTTGACTGCTGGAGTTGCTCTGCCGCGCCATCCTGCCGTTGTAGCACAACAGCAGCCACACCACTCAACTGCCGGACTTGCTGCACAGCCCCACGGCTACTTCGACGCTACCCCAGTCTTGGAGCAAATCCATTCTCTCCCTCCTCTGCCACCACACTTGACGTATGCACCTGTGTACGCGTCTAATGGAGCACTAGCCCATATGCCATTGGGCCTGATGCATGCCTTTGGTCAGGTGGACCTTAACTCACGGGTTGATCAACTCACACAAAGAGTCGACGATCAAAACAACCTGATTGGCGAGCTACTCAGGCAGATCAACTTGAACCAAGGCCCTAACCTTGGACCTCGTGACGAGGAGAGGAGGACGCATGAGCATGCCAACGAGCAGTTCGAGAGATCCCAAGCTGGTCAGACAAGGGCGAACGAGCAGGGGAGAGAACGAGATCGTGCTACGCAGACATCTGCAAGTCGCACTCTGAGCCGGTCGATCCGTTCGAGGTTAGGTCCAAGGACCATTGTACGTTAGAGCTGGGCCCACAGTCCAATGTCCACGCTCGCTTGGGCCCACAAGGAAGTATCCATTCTAGGCTCGGCACACAAGGAGCTCGAGTTCGTGAACAATCGCGTGACGAGCGCAACGATCGACGCTCACCAGCCCGCTTGAGAACCAATACACAGCAACAAGCCATAGAGGACTCCTCACAAGCTCAATCTCCTAATCTGCCCCACAGGCAGCGCAACCAAGGGGATCGACCCTTGGAAGCTGAGGAGGAAGTTAACAGCGCTCGAGGCACCGAAGACGTCGACCCGAACCACTAGCCCTGCGGGCAGAAGATGTCGAGAAGTTAGTGAATGACTGACTCCAAAGTCTCCAACTTTCTCCAACTTAAAGGAAGCACGGAGGAGGCCCTGTACAAGGAAATTGATCGAGTCGACTGCTCACCCTTTGCAGACGAGGTGGAACGAGATGCACCGCCGAAGCGGTTCACAACGTCATCCATCACTCCGTTCAAGGGAGACTCCGACCCTGAGAGCCATTTGAGGCACTTCAAGAGTGCCATGATCCTGTACAAGGCAGACGACACCCTGATGTGCAAAGTGTTCGCGATGACTTTGCGAGGAGCAGCTCAAGACTGGTTCCACACTCTACCGTCCGCGTCGATAGGCAACTTCAAGGAGTTCGCCCTCATCTTCACAAAGGAGTACACCTCCTACAAGACCACTTGTTCAACCTGCGCAAGAAACCAGACGAGTCTCTTCGAGACTATCGCAGACGATTCAAGGCTGGGAAGGCGAACATCATAGGATGCAATGACCAAGTTGTGTCCTCAGCTTTCAAGAAAGGCTTGCCAACCGAACACGAGCTATACAGCAAGCTGGCCATAACTCCAAGCCAAACCTTGGCAGAGGTCTTTGCGACGGCAGAGCGCTACACACTTTGGGACGATGACCGTATCGAGGCGAAGAAGGCCAGCAAGCAAGCTGATCACCCGACAGGGCAGGCATGCCAAAAGAACAACAAGTTCGAACACAAAGCCCGAGACAAGCGCAGATCGCGCCCCCAAGAGGGAGGCTCGAAAATAGAAACCTTCACTGAGTTCACTATCTCGATCCACCAGATCCTGGCACAAGTGAAGGACAAGCCATGGGTGAGAATGCCACCACCCCTGATAGGAGACCCATCTAGGAGGGACACTAGTAACTACTGCGCATTCCATGGGGAACATGGTCATTACAACAGCAACTGCAATGCTTGGAAAAGGCACCTCGAGGAGCTGGTCAGAGACAGCCACTGCACAGAATTCGTCGCAAAGAAGGCCATCCAGCAAATCGAGGATCGCGATGCAGCTGCCAAGGAACCTTCCCAAAAGGTCAAACGAATCAACACCATTCTAGCTGATTCCCAGGAGTCTAGGCTGACCACCAAGGAGCGCAAGAGAAAGATCGCGTAGGTGACTTACATTTCCCAAGTCACAACGTGTGTACTAGTCATTGCAGATACACCCGTCATCGGCTTTCAGAAGAAGGACTTGATCGGGCTTGATCTACCACATAATGACACCCTAGTAATCTGCATCCAAATTGAACAAGCTGTGATCGAGCGAGTTCACGTGGACGAGGGCAGCGCAGCCAATATCCTGCAACTATCTGTTATCCAACAGATGGGATTGGAGCCCAAGATCAGCAAACTTGCCAGATCGCTCACCAGCTTCAATGGGGCCACGTCAATCACTGTTGGGACAATCGACCTTGACGTCCACTCACCCTCGGTGGTCTGCTCGCAAACCTTCATGGTCATCGACGAGATCTCTCCCTACAACGGAATCTTAGGCAGATCGTGGATCAACAAGATCGAACCCATCACATCTGCTCTACACCAGAAGATTCGCTACCCCATCCTTGGTAGCTGGATCGGGCAGATCAACAGTGACCAAGCCATGGCAAGGAGATGCACAGCCCAAGGGCTCAAGAAGAGCAGGAAGTTGCAGTTCACACCAGTAATGCAAGCTACTGACGTGGCAGGAAACACGCCCAGTAGACAAGCAAGCCCGAATGGGAAGGGAGTTGCTACCTCACAATAGCAATTAAGGAGCCAGGATCAAGGCGAGGGAATCTGCTCGGAAGACTCCCCTGAAAAGGGTTGGAAGCTTAAGGATGACGTTGAGTTAGTACCCCCTGATCCTGGCCCGCCAGACAAAGAAGCACAGATCGGCTCGCGCTAGAATCCAAATGAGAAGGATCGAGACGAGGGAATCCGCCCGTAAAGCTCCCTTGAAGAAGGTTGGAAGCCTGAGGAAGACGTTGAGTTAGTACCCCTCGATCCTGACCAGCCAGATAAAAAAGTGCGGATCGGCTCACACCTAAGCCTAGACGAGAAGGTGGAGCTGACCACCTTCCTCTAGAAGAACAAAGACATGTTCGCGTGGTCGCCATCTGACATGCCTGACATCGACCCGAACATCATCTGCCACCGACTCCATGTCAACCCCGCCAGCAAACCCGTGGTGCAGAAGAGACGCAACTTCGCTCCCGAGCGAGTTACGATCATCGAAGCCGAGATCGATAAGCTTCTAGCTACTGGCTTCATTGAAGAGGTCTCCTGCTCAAAATGGCTGGCCAACGTTGTACTGGTGGCGAAACAAGAAAAAGGCAAATGGAGAGTTTGAGTCGATTACACCAACCTCAACAAAGCTTGCCCTAAAGACAACTTCCCATTGCCGAGAATCGACCAGCTCGTGGATTCAACTTCCGGCAATCAGCTGCTCAGTTTCATGGACGCCTACTCCGGCTATAATCAAATCCTAATGTACGAGGATGACAAGGCGAAGACTTCTTTCATCATAGAGAGAGGGACCTACTGCTACAAGGTCATGCCTTTTGGGCTGAAGAACGCCGGAGCAACCTACCAAAGGCTCATGAATAAAATTTTCAAGGAACAAATCGACAAAACCATGGAAGTCTACGTGGACGACATGCTGGTCAAAGCCCCTAAGCGAGCAGACCACATCAAGAACCTCACTGAGGCGTTCAGCCTGCTCCTCCAATATCGCATGAAGTTGAATCCAAGTAAATGCACGTTCGGTGTATCGTCCGGCCGATTCCTGGGATACCTAGTAACTCAACAAGGTATCGAGGCGCACCCACGCCAAATCAAGGCCATTCTCGAGATGAAGTCACCTTCAACAGTAAAGGAAATACAAAGTCTGACGGGCAGAGCAGCGGTCCTCAATCGATTCCTCTCGAGATCTACCAACAAGTGCAGACCATTCTTCAAAGCTTTGAAGAAGGGGCAAAGAGATAAATGGGACGAGGAGTGCGAAGAAGCTTTCCAGAATCTAAAGACTTACCTCACTTCACCTCCCCTGCTCTCGAAGCCAGTTCCTGGTGAAGACTTGTTCGTGTACCTGGCAGTGTCCAACTCGGCCATCAGCTCAACTCTAATTCGAGAAGAACTGGGGGCCCAACATCCGGTATTCTACACGTCAAAAGCCCTTCTTGATGCAGAGACTCGCTACCCAAAATTGGAAAAGCTCATTTTGGCCCTTGTAGTTTCCGCGAGAAAGTTGCGACCCAACTACCAAGCTCAATTAGTTATCGTCATGACAGACTTTCCTTTGAGGTCAATCCTCCACAGCCCTAACGCGTCTCAACAACTCATGAAGTGGGATATAGAGCTAAGCCAATACGACCTCCTCTACCGGCTGAAAACTGCAATAAAAGCCCAGGCTTTAGCAGACTTTGTCGCATAATTCACGTCATTGGCTGAAGAAGAGAAGCTGGTCAGCAAAAAAAAAAGAAAAAAAAAAAGGAAAGTTCGAGAGCAGACAAGACCTCCGCTAAACTTGACCAACCCAAAGACATGTGGCAGTTGCGCGTAGACGAAGTGTCGAACCAAAAAGGAGCTGGAGCAGGCGTCGTCATCATCACCCCGGATGGAACCCTGTTGGAGCAAGCTATCACGCTTGGCTTCCCAGCCTCAAACAACGAGGCAGAATACGAGGCATTGCTCGCTGGCTTGCGCTTAGAGAAGGAGCTATCAATCAAGAAGATGGCCATCTACTCAGATTCCCAGTTGATCACAAATCAAGCCTTAGGAAAATACATGGCGAAGCACCCAAGGATGATCTTGTATCTTGACAAAGTCCAGGAGCTATTGAAGGCATTTCCTACCTTCACCATCCAACAAGTGCCTCGAGCAGAGAACGGGCATGCAGATGCACTGGCAAGCTTAGGATCAGCGCTTGATACCCAATTCAGACGCTCTATCCCTGTCGAGCACCTTGACCAGCCAAGCATAGAAGAGGCAGAGCAGCCAAACCTGATGCAGATCGACGAGGATCCTAGCTGGCAAGACCCCATCATTGACTACCTAGTTAATGAAAACTTACCCAAGGACAAGTCCAAGGCCAGAAAAGTCAAATAGAAGGCTCCGAGATACTACATGAAAGGCGACATGCTTGTTTGCAGATCATACTCCGGCCCTCATCTTACTTGCATCAAGTACCCGCAGACGCTCGAGGTTCTCTGCAAAATACACGACGGCGAATGTGGAAATCACGCTGGGGGCAGATCGCTTGCCCAGAAGGCTCTCAGCATAGGCTATTTCTGGCCTAACATGCGCCAAGACTCCACGGAGTATGCTCGAAGATGTGATCGATGCCAACGATATAAGCCAATCCCTGGCTTGCCAACTGAGGAATACCATCCACAGAACAGTCCATGGCCGTTCATGCAGTGGGGCATTGACCTGGTGGGACCTATGCCGATAGCACCTGCCAACAAGGAGATGATGATCGTCGCCACAGATTACTTCACCAAATGGATCGAGGCCGAGGCTTTATCCTCTACCAAGGAAGCTAATGTCGAACAATTTATCTGGAAGAACATCATCCGCCAATTCGGATGCCCGCAGTTGATAGTCACCGACAATGGTACACAGTTCGTGGGCAAGCAGATCACCGCATTCCTTGCGAAGTATGGCATCAAACAGCACCTGTCAACCCCCAGATACCTGCAAGGCAATGGCCAAGCAGAGGCATCCAACAAGATCGTGCTGGACTGCCTGAAGAAAAGACTGGAAGGCTCAGAAGGAAAATGAGTAGACGAGCTACCAGGAGTCCTGTGGGCTTATCGCACAACCAAAAGGAGATCAACCGGCGAGACACCATTTTCTCTAGCCTATGGGACAGAAGAAATCATCCCCCACACATCACAGTCCCTTCCAAGAGCATTGAGGTAGGCAGTCTTGACCAAAACTGCAAGCAGATGAAAGTCAACCTTGATCTGCTCGAAGAAGAACGAGAAAAGGCCATTGTTCAAGTGGCAACCTACCAGCAGCAGCTGACATTTTACTACAACAAGAAGGTCATTGTTCGACTTGCAGCTTACCAGCTCGACTCCAAGTAGGTGACGAGCCTCCCTTACCTCCATTGCAGACAAGCTGCTTCTCAAGTACAAACTCAATGAAGCCCCTTTTTCGAGCGTTATGTCCTCGACATACGCCCGCAAGCAATAAGCCTTATCTCCATTGCAGACAAGCTACTTCTCGAGTACAAACTCAATAGAGCCTTTTTTGAGCGTTATGTCCCCGACATACGCTCACAAACGACAAGCCTTACCTCCACTGAAGGCAAGCTACTTCTCGAGCACAAACTTCATGGAGCCTTTTTCGAGCGCTATGTCCCCGACATATGCCCGCAGGCGACAAGCCTTACCTCCACTGAAGGCAAGCTACTTCTCGAGTACAAACTTCATGGAGCCTTTTTCGAGTGCTATGTCCCCGACATATGCCCGCAGGCGACAAGCCTTACCTCCATTGCAGGCAAGCTACTTCTCGAGTACAAACTCAATGGAGCCTTTTTCGAACGCTATGTCCTTAACATACGCCCACAGGTGACAAGCCTTACCTCCACTAAAGGCAAGCTACTTCTCGAGTACAAACTTCATGGAGTCTCTTTCGAGCGTTATGTCCCCGACATACGTACACAAGCGACAAGCCTTACCTCCATCGTAAGCAAGCTACTTCCCGAGTACAAACTCAATTGAGCCTCTTTCAAGCGCTATGTCTCCGGGCATACACTTACAAGATACAATGAGAATTGAAGTTTGAAAGATAACTGAAAATTCCATAGCAAAGCCGCCAACCAGCCGAGTTCAACAAGAAATGAGCCTCATTCTGCTCAACCGACACCTACTGCTCTGCAGCCTCAGCTGCCTCCACCTCTGCATCTGCCCTAACCTCATCAGCCGCGCCACCTTTGGCGTCGTCTTCCTCCGTTGCAGCTTCATCAGCTACCTGCTCTTCAACTGCTTCTACATCCACAGCATTGATCTGCTCACTTTAAGTAGGGGGCAAGTCAAGATAGAGTTGCTCACCATCCTCATGTTCGAGAGGGCAACAAGGAGGAGCACCGTTCTTGCAGTCCAAGTATCCCAGCTTGTATGCATTAGCAGCAATTTCATGCTTGGATGCCTCCGTGGCTTCAACATGAGTGTCAAACTTGACCAGCAGAGCTCTCACCGACTCCCAGATCAATAGTTTGCGCAACTGAAGGACTTTTGCTCGAGTAGACGACTCTTTACCTCTCTTGGCTACAACTTGCAACATTGAGTTAGCTTCGCGCTTGACTGTTAGTGGCTTTGCAGACGAGTCGTGACTGCTAAACAGAGGCACAATCCTCTCAGTTTGATCCCCGAATCAGTGCAGGCGACCCAAACCCTGCTTCTATGCAGCCTCTTTATAAGGCAGATCACGGGTTTTGGGCAGTTCGGCCGGAGACTTGAGTAGAATATCCCGAATCTCCTGTATGCTATTGACATGCTTACTGTTCACGCTGACGAGGTGCTTGATCCAAGCAGACGAGGCAGGAGCAACTCCCATAAGGACCTTCTCAGCAGACGAGACCCTCCTTGAGGAAGACTTGCTTGTGGCAGAAGAAGGTCTCGGCTGCTTTTGCTGTGGAGACGTATTCCTTGATCGTGAGACTGCGACTTCATCGTGCGCAGATCTACTGCTAGCCTTCCTCTCCTCAAGGAGCTCGATCGAGGACTCCTCCTGCTCAGCTAGCAGATCACTTAGGTCCGAGCCATGCAGCTTCTATCTTTCAACATCTTCAGTAGGAGGCAGACCATCGACCTCCTTCCGATGTTCGCTCAGTAACCAGCGCCATTCACTAAACCAGACAGAGATGTTCAGAGCTTGCTGAACCTTGGACATGTTCGGGTCGAGATCGAGCTTCTTGCAGATGTTATTCTCTATAAGCAGAAGATGGAAGTCAATCAGAGACACAACAAAGTTTCAGAAAGGCTATAGCAGATCAAAGAAGTATAACTTACCATCACAGTAGATGTGAGGAATGAGCGGACCGCCACCACACATGATCGCCTTGACTCAGACTGTCCGTAGTTCGTGGTACAAAAAAAATTGAAGCAGTTTGGACCAACCCCAGTAACTAAGCTGGCCCGAACTGCCACCCGCTTTAGCAGCAGGCCAGCGCGCCTCCAACCCAGTTACAGCTAGACTGCCCGAGTCAAAGTCGAATTGGCAAGTCAAAGACCTCCTCAACTCAGGAGCCCAAATCCAGGAAGGAAGCCCAGTTATAGCTAGACAGCCCAACAGATAATTCACATCTCCTACATGCCACCACGTGCCATGCAGAAGCTAGGGGGCATTTGTGGGAGCCGAATTAAATCACCCTAGGTCAAATAATTCCTTCCATTTGGGGATTATTTGACCTAATTGGGAGTTACTCGATTTAATTGGGGGTTACCCAATTAAATTGGGAGTTACCTAATTAAAATTGGGATTGATTTGATTCCTACCCCAATTAGGGATTTTATTTCAATCAAATCCCTAATTAATCAAATCTCACCTAATCAGGGAGGAATAATTCCTTTCCATCTACAGAATTATCCAGCTTTTGTTCAAGTTTTGAAATCTGCACACTAGAAGATTCATTAGAACTACTAACAACACGTTTACCTCTTGTATCCGTATGTTGGGTCTCCATTGCTATCCCCTCAAAGAGTTCATACATTTCTTCGGGAGTCTTGGTCTTATAAGAACCACCTGCAAAATTTGTGACGATATTATGACTAGAAGGGGTTAGTCCTTTATAAAACATACACATTTGAAGCTTCAATGGAATCCCATGATGAGGACATTGATTAAGCAGCCCATTGAATCTCTCCCATGCTTCACAAAACGATTCATCATCTTGCTGTGCAAATAACAAGATCTTATCCCTAAACATGTCGGTCTTTTGTGTGAAGAAGTATTTTTCTAGGAACTTCTTTTGAATGGCAGCCCATGTAGTGAGTGAACCAAGCTTCAAAGAATTCAACCAATACTTCGCCTTATCCTTTAAAGTGTATGGAAACACTCTCATTCGAAGTTGATCTTCTGTCACACCTGTCAAGGGAAAAGAACTCACAACATTAAAAATATCCTTTATATGAGTTAATGGATCTTCATTAGGTAAACCATAAAAGGAAGGTAACATATTAAGATGAGAAGATTTAAGCTCATAGTTTTGAGCTATAGTGGGCAGCAAAATGCTTGAAGGGGATGCTGGAATTGTTGGGATATCAAGGTCTCCCATGAACTCAATGGCAACCATCATTTCTTCTTCTTCTTGGTCTGAACTTGGTTCCGAATTTGAAGGTGAAGAACCAAGAAGTTCAGTGTGGAGAGCAAGACTTGTAAATGTAGCAAGAGCTTGCTCTTTTGCAATTGACAACTCCCTTTCTAGATGATTCTGAATTCCAGAGATCACTCGATTGGGTTGCAACGATGGTCTTGCGTTTAAAGATCTCGAACGTTGGAACGAAGACCTCACTTGTTCAAGGAATGGCCTGTTAGACATAAACTACCTGAAACAGAAAATTAGATTAATTAGAAACACTAAAAAGAATAGGGTAACCTTGGGCACATAACCAGGGAAGAACTTTCATTCAGTCCCCGGCAACGGTGCCAAAATTTTGTTGTTAATATTATTAACTCGCAAGTGTACGTGCCAATTAGTAGTATAGCAAGACAAGTACGAGGTCATACCCACAAGGACTGAGAAGTTAAAATTAGTTATGTACTTAGATTACCAAATTCAAGAAGTAGGAAGTTAAGTCTAAAACAGAATTTAAAGCAAGAGTGAGTTTGAAAACAAATGCAGCAAGATTAAATTAGACTTTGAAGTGAGAATGCTTGTGATTATAGAAAGAAATGAACAAACTGAAATTGCAAATAATACAAGTAAACAAGTGCAACAAGGGTAGTTTTGAAGGTTTAGAAACAGATTTGGAGGCTAGGGCATTCGATTCACCATAACAATTCAATTATGGGTTATAAGGATTTAAGTGACAAGTCTAATTCAGATTCAAAGATTGATTCTAGCTAATGTATGATTAAGCCATGGTGTCTGGTCCTAACCTTGTATTCCTAATTCCCTAATTTGATCATCTGTTGTCTAACCTAAATTAAGCATTAGGAATCCATTAAGCATAAAAGAACATTTTAAACAACCAAGTATATATCTAATCCAGATTGTCGAATTCTCATACACACTCTTCCTATTCATAGTTCAATTCGAATTAAAATATGGTGTCTACTCTTAATTCAAACCAAGATATACAAATCCGAATGGTAGCTAGGCATTCCGATCAGCATATAGGCAGGTAGGCAAAATGAATAAGAACATAAATCATGAATCAAACTTGAAACTTGAAATTTATAAACCCAAAATATTCATGTTAGGTTACATCGAAGCCCTAGTTATGGATTTAGCTACTCATAATGGAAAAGAGACTTGAACATAAATGAGAAAACATAATGAATGCAACAAGAGTAGAAAAACCAATTTATGAAGTTCTTGTGGTGTCCAATGCTTCTCAAAGGGCTTCTCCACGTCTAATGCTTCTCCAAGAGTTTCCCCACTTGTAGAAGGATGTATGAAGGATATGGAGGTGATTTGGGATGAATTTGAGTGAGTGGTGATGGCTGAGAAAGATGAAATTCGTAGGGAAATGGAAGAGAGGCTTGTTGGGACAGTTTTGGTGATTTGAGGTTGTTTAGAGCTTTAGGTTGATTGCTGGAGTGTTTGGGGTTGTGGGAGTGTTCAAAGGTAATTTATGAATGTGTTTGGAGAATGATGGGAGTGTTGGAGGATGGATGGAGTGGTTTGTAGGGTTGTGAATCCCAGGATTTTTGCACACCTTTGAATGAGGAATGGAAGAGGTATTTATAGGGAGAAGGGAGTGATAAATATGAATTCAATATGGCTAATGCATACAACACTTGTAATTGAAAATCAAATTCTTTTCTTGTATGGCTACTGCACTTCTCCAACTAATCCCACCAGAAACCAATATCTCATCTTCATGTCAGCATGACCAAGCTTCCAACCAGAAACAATAGCTCATGCCTAGCTCATCATGACCAAGCAAGCAATGAGCTCATCTGCAAGTCAGCATGATGTGTATTTTGATGGGCTCACGGATTGGGCTTGGATTAATCAAATGTCGACTTTGAGCTGTCTATCTTGAGGTTCAGAATGTGTTCTTTCCAAGCACACGTGAATTGGCCCAATCCAAGCTTAGATGAAAAAGATATGTCCGAAATGAATTTGTAACTCAGTCTTCAGTTTTTACACATTGTTTTCACCATTTTACTTCAAATGCCTCAAGTGATACCTAGAGCTCAATGAACTAAATGACAAAACACAAAAGAGGTTAAAAGCACAAGGTTAACTCAAAAGCATAACTAAATCATAAGCTAAAAGGGTACAAAATGATATACAATTGTGAACCGAACAGTCCTTTTACTCCGATCTATTTTGCAGGGAGAAGGAGACGGCGACGAAGGAAGAGGAATCTCAATCGAATATTCTCGTGGGAGGAAATTTGCTCCCACACAAGCCATATGTCTCCTGAAACAAAACAATTTTGGAAGCTAGAACAAAAGGCTATTATGAGACGAAGACTTTTTCGTGATGATGGACCTAGCAACACGGATTGGTTAAATGATGGAAACCCTTAAGTTAGTTTGCTTGCCTTTTCATTTCATTGTATTTTAATGTTTTGTTTTAAAAATTAGTTGTAATTCATGTATTTTATTTTATTAGTAGTATTGGTTTTCTTTGAGTTACCAAAGAAACTATTAAATAAAATTCCTTTTTATTCAAATCATTCCATTCATAAAAAACTAACCACAACCAAAGCATTAAAAATATAAAAACAAACAAACCACAACCAAAGCATAAAAAAACCAAACATAAAACATAAACATTAAAATCTTAAAAAACATCTTCACTTCACTTCATTCACCGTCATTGCCTTTCACCGCCCATAAATGCTCCATTAAGTCAATTTGATGGCGTTCATGAATATACGACAATTGGATCTCCGTATATCGATCGATCATACGGTTCATGAAACGACCATCTCTAACCAAAGGTTCATGCTCCAATGGTTCTCCATTTTGCTCTATGGGTTTTTCATAAATTCTTGTCAAGGCCGTGTTCATGGGATCCGGTTCGTACACCTCTTTAGCCTCGTAATCATACTAATCCTCCACAATCATGTTATGGAGGATGATGCATGTCATCATTATGCTCCTTAACACCTCCTCATCAAACATACATGCCGCACCCCTAATGATCGCCCACCGAGCTTGGAGGATACCAAAGCATCTCTCCACATCTTTTCTGTATTTCTCCTTATATAAGGCAAACAATTTTTGCTTCTGGGTTTAGGGATGCGGAAGTGTTTTCACAAATGTTGTCCACCTCGGGTAGATGCCGTCAGCTAGATAATACCCAGTCTGATAGACGGTATTGTTGACTTGATAGGTGATTTGCGGGGCTTCTCCTTTCAAAACATCGTTGAACACCGGGGATTGACCTAGGACGTTCAAGTCATTTTGAGATCCAGCAACTCCGAAGAAGGCATGCCAAACCCATGTATCGAATCCTGCAACGGCTTCAAGGATGATGCTTTTTTGGCCTTTCCGATTCCCATAATCGCCTTGCCAAACAGTTGGACAATTCTTCCATTGCCAGTGCATGCAGTTGATGCTACCAATCATTCCTGGAAAGCCTCTAGCTTCGGCTTTCTGTAGAAGTCGTTGCATGTCCCTGGGCATAGGTCTGCGCAGGTAGTCTCTGGTGTACAGAGTTTCGATTGCATCACAAAATCTAACCAAACACTCCAAAGCAGTGGACTTCCCCATCCAGGCAATCTCATCCACTTGATCAGCAGATGCACCATACGCCAACATTCGTATAGCAGCTGTGAACTTTTGTTCGGGAAGCAGTCCCAAAACATCAACACAATTTCTCTTTTGAACAAAGTATTCATCATAATTGCAAATATCATGCATGACTTTGTTGAACAAATGTTGTTGCATTCTATATCGCCCTCGAAAAAGAACATCAGAGTACAGAGAAGTTGGGATAAAATAATCTTCCATAAGATTCTTACCCCGAGAATGCCCATGTCTGTCAACATTCGGTGCACAGCCTTCATGTGAACCACGACTGCTCTGGTTTTCTTCATCAAGCAAACCCACAGCCATGACAATTAGCTGATCTAGTTCTCTCTGCACTCTTTTGCTTGCAGCTCGTCTACGCCTTCTTTCTGTTATTTCTCGTTCTTGCCTCTCCAAGACCTCCTCCATGTCTGCCATTGAGAATGGAATATGGAATCTGAAATCTAAAATCTGAGAAACGAAATTTTTTAGAAGATGTAGTGTGAGAGGTTTGTGAGCTGAGCCTTAGTTTTATAGAAAAATTTAGGCCGATAAACATGACACGTGGCGCAATTTTATAGGGTGAAAATCTTATCCGAAATTTGAAATTCATATGAAATTTATTTGAAATGTGAAATTCAAATGAAATTTATCTAAAATTTGAAATTCCTTTGACATGTGGCGCAATTTTGTAGGGTGAAAATCTTATCCGAAATTTGAAATTCAGATGAAATTTATCTGAAATTTGAAATTCAAATGAAAAGTTGAAATTCAAATGAAATTTATCTGAAATTTGAAATGCAGATGAAATTTATATGAAATTTATCTGAAATTTGAAACAAAAATTTATTTGAAATTTGAAATCTTATCCGAATATTTTATCACAAAATCTCATCCGAAAATATTATCCAAATTAATTGTTTAGGAAAACAAATTTGTGAAAAAAACAAAAAATTGAATAGTACTTACCCTTTATCATGGCAATTACTAGAAGTGCTTTTTACAAAGGAAGATACTATTTACGTGAATAGTATAGTGTCAGCCCTAAGCCCCCTTGCCATGGCAAGGGTTTGACTGATGGAAGTGCCCTGAAGATCTTGGTGTGTGTTTCTTAATTTCTGATTTTCGTTTTCTGGGCTTTACACAATTTCTTAAGAAAAAAAACCGACAAAACAGTGTTGGGGTGAGTTTTGGGTAGAGCAAAGATGGGTGTCGGCCTATCAGTTCTGATAGGGTTGAAAGCAGCAGTGCTCTTCTTCTTCTTCGCAAACCTGAGAAGGTTAGGTTTCACTCTGCTATCAATTCCATTTTTGTATGCCTCTTTGGTATCCATGTTGGTTTCCATAGCTTCTCACCCATCCATAGACCTTCCCATGCTGTTGGGCAAGAACCCAGATGGGAGTTTCCCAATTTGGTCAATCATTATGTTCAGCCCATATTTGTATTTTGTCCGATTCTTCTCGGCATTGCGAAGATTGCTCAGTGGAGAGGCTCCTTATAGTGAAATTTGCGAGGGTTTGTATGTCGGCGGATGGCCTTCTTCCCCTGATAAACTGCCACCAGATGACCCTGCCATTGTTGATTGCACCTGTGAGTTGCCAAGAAGGCCGGAGTTTTCAGGGCATTCTTATTTGTGTGTCCCGACATGGGACACAAGGGCTCCTCAGCCGGCCGCCATTGAATCCGCTGTCAAATGGGCTTGTCGAAAGAGGGACCAGAAAAGGCCTGTTTTGGTCCACTGTGCATACGGTATGCTGCAAAATGAGTTCATTTTTGTTAATATATCATGCTGATGATGAGAGCAACTTGTTGTTGCAATGCATATTTGATAATTCTACTTCATTCTGAGCTCTTCTTGCTTTAGATATATTATATAAGAAGTGTCTGGTATTTTGGTTTTAGATATCTATATAGTTCAGAAGGGGTATTTGTGTTGCAATGCACATATAAGTTGGCCTTGGAATTAAGCCCTGAGGACACTGTCTTATCGTTTCAGTCACCTTCATTCAGCCAAGAATTTCTTGCCTTCTGATCAGCCACTGCCCCTGCAAGATAAGAAACGGGGAATAGTTTATGTACAAAGCTTTTTGAATTCCTTCACAACCTTCTCTTTTTGTGAGACAAATTACTCAACACCTCTTTCTCAATGGACTCTTAAGCTTCATTGAGCCCAACATCCCGACACTTAGGACACCCATCATCCACCAATATACCAAGGTTCTCATGTTTCATTCAAGTAGCTAAAACCTAAAATAATTAGGAATCTTAGCTGACTCCAAGAGAGACATAGGAGGACAATAATTTGACATAGTTTTGAACAGGTTTCTGATAATGTCTGATATAAACCCCATTGCATACCCATCTCCGTAACAACTCTTCCACCCTGTATCAATCATCTCCGTAACAACTCTTCCAGTTTCTCTGCCGTTGGACCTTGTGAACTTGGGTCCTGTGAATCCAAATTAATGATAGGCTCCCTATCAATCCATTGCCTAAAACCTTTCATTGTGCTTGTGGACACACCCCATTGTTCTCACTGCTAAAATGAATTCCATTAAAAGTATCCAGCCATCACCTAAAACAATGAATGGCTCTCAGAAGCCTCAACAAGGAACTTCCACAACCCAGTTCTTTAAGTAGGGCAGGGCTATCATGTGCAATGCAAAAAGCCAGTTCTTACCACTGCGTAAGCAGTGCTTACTGTGATGACATGTTCATTAGTAGTCATGATCTTAGTAGATACTCTTCTGACTTCCCATAATATCCAAATACGTCTTGCAAAACCACTGGCATCCTTTGCTTGAGCTTTGGGAAACTCCTACTTGTTGATCATTGTACCAGTTTTATCCTTACTTATCCAAGGTTCAAAAATAGCAAACACCTCCATTTCATAGTACTTGATCACCTCTCTACCAGAGGCCAGGAGCGTTTACTGCCAGCACAGCACCCTGCACATTCCTGCAAACTATGTTCCTAAAGACAAGGAAAGCCAACAGGGTAAAGACAAGGAATCTTATGCTTCAATCATGGCATATTTCCGAGTGGGGGCCTCATAATCATAGTCCTCATCATTTAGGTCCATATCAGTGTTGATTATCATGAGAAAAGAATGGCTCTGCGTCTTAACCTTCCAATTTGGAAAATTGTTTCTGTTGGTATCTTCTTCCACTGCCAAAGGGCACAGCCCCTCACCCAAAACTATGTTTGATGGTTCGTGCCCTTTCCTAGCAATCTCTTCCTCCATAGAATTGGAAGGACATTCATAGAGAACTTACCAGGGCTTTGTTTAATCATCTGAACTTTATTAGGCATATTATCCTGAACCCCCAGACTTCCTCTTCTCAACAGCTTTATCTGATATCCCTTAATTTCCATGGAAGGTTACTGAGGTTGGAAACTTGCACCTAATACAAAACATTTGTAACAGCATTGACAAAGTTCGTTGGTTTACCACTTTAACAAAAAGCTTAAGCTTTTATATTCTCTAATGGCCCCTCACATATGGGTCTGTCTCCACTGTCTGAGATCACTATGTGGACTCAAACTTATATAGGAACAATGCAATTGCAGGGATTCAAATTCAGGATCTCCTGCTCTCATACCACGATAAAGTTTCTAATTAGCACCCTTATTACTGTCGTTGAGCTAGAAGCCCTCTTCTAGCTCCTTGTACCTTGCTCCCTCTGGTACCTCATTCTACCTATCCAAACTCAAGCCACTAAGTTTCCAACCGAAGCAACCTCCCTGTTACCTCTTTGTAATTATCTTTCCTTCTTTAATAAAATTATGTTTCTTTGCCCAAAGAAAGATAAAAAAACTAAAAAAACTCTATCCTCTATTGTTTACCACTTCCTCACTTCCCTCCCCAAACCCGATGGTATTCTAATAGCATAAGTTCCACCTCTATGCCAGCTATGTGAAATTTAATTTCCTTTGAAATGTTTATACAACGGAAGTGTTATAATCCACCCCTGTTCAAAAAGAGGGTGAAATGATTCACACTGCTTTGGGTTCTCGATACATCTTTGAAACGCTCGACGCTATGAACTTGTGTATTATCTTTTTAAAAAAATATAAAAAAGAAAACTTAATGGGCATATCATATCGTATACTTTTTTAATTCTAATTTCCTTTGAAACTATTGCGACTGTCTCTCTTTGAAGAGAGATACAACCTTGCCCAGTCATTTCTTTTCGGAAAAAATGTTGCCACAGCTTTTGGTTCTGCAGTACATGATGCAGGGCAGCTGCTATAAGCTACTGGTCAGTGACCCAAACATACCCAAAATACAGGGAATAGAAGGATAAAGCAATGAAATAGAAGAAGGAACGAAGATAATTGAGTTCTAGGGCAAAATCCCATTAGAAACTCTATAGACTTAAGTCTGAAATTATATTCATCAACAAAAACTGAATACAAGAGTCTCTTAATAGCCTATTTATACTAGAATACATAAAACCTAATTTACATAGGAAATTAAAAACCTAAACAGGAAATCAAGCCAAATCCTAGTTAGAATAGGAGAACAAAAGAAGAAACCAGAACCCTAGCCCAATTGACTAACGGCCCAAGTACTTTTAGAGAGCCTTGTAGATGCTCCTGCATCAGTACATCTCACACACACACTTATTAAATGTAATTTTTGTACTTTTAAGCATGTAATTGTGATTATAATGAATTGAATATACCCTGATATGGGCAGAGGACTATGCAAACACACAAACAGCTTTTTAATTTTTCAGCTTCTTGGTGAGGTCTTGTTTCATTAAGATATGGGTTATATAACCTGGTTATTCTAGTATAGTAATACTGGAAACGATGCAATTAGACTGAGATTTGAGAATAATTTGGCTAGAAAAACTCGAACAAGATGGAGCTTCCCAGATTTCTAGTATTTGGATCAGCCATTGCCAAACATGCTAAAGATGCCGAGGTTGGAGATTTGGGGTGATTTTGAGGGCTCGTCCCTACATTTAGTCCTTTAGACTGTAATCCCTAACTGTCTGGTTATAGAGTTTTTTGCAGTCAGGATGCTTCCATGTTCACCAAGGAGTCAATAAGAAAAAGAAATTCTGCAAACTGGATTGGTTTTTCTGGATTCTAATCAATCTAAATCCATTTCCCCCAGATGAACTGAAATCATTTTGAATTTTTCTTGTCCATCCATAACTAACAGTATCAAAACAGTCTTTTTATGTTCTTATATTATTTTATGTAAATACTTTAAAGTAAATTGTTATATCTAAGTCATTTGATTTAAATACACAAATCCAAATGGAACCCTAGTAAAATTTATGCAAACACCCATTCTCCAAGTGGTGGAGTTTGAAGATTCTTTTCTCAGAGAAACATTTATATTTCTCATAACAAATTCTTATGTGTTTGCTTTCTCTTAAATGATGTTTGATGGCTGATGGCTGATGGTAGTG